AATAGGATCACAAGTCTGCATCTTGTACAGCAATTAACCACTAAGAAGAATATATGCAGTGTATTATTTGTTGAAACTGTACTTCCAATTTGATTTGAAACTGTCTCATTGCTATCTGTTTATCAATAAAACTTTGGAAAAAAAATAAAAATAAAAATTTTTAAAAAAAGATATCATGTCTATATCTTATCCTCTGGATACTACAAAGACAACAATATGCAATTATGTATTAATTATTATAACTGTCCTACTCACCTATTTTAAAACTGTTTTATTGCTATTTTATCTTTTTCTCATTAAAATGAATAAATTCTTTTAAAAGAGCCTACTATTCTTATAGATGTTACTTTTTTTACATGGGGCTGGTGTTGGGTGCACTTTAGAAGAGAACACATTCTCTTATGGAACACATGGATGTGAACTATACAATATATAAACTCATAGCTGATTGTCTGCCAAGGTCACTATTTGCTAGCAGTAATCCGTACTTAGAACATTTACTTACATCTGTTATATTCTGCCTATCTCTGTGCACAAGCGTTGAACAAGTATTCAAGGGCACACTCGCAATGAATGACAGACCACAGATTTAGGCTCAGGCAGTGTGACTTCACAGCCGCCACTGATCCACATGTAGTTTGTTATATGTTAATTTTATAATTTGTTTTTACTATAAATTAAACCACAAAAAAAAAACCGAGATAATATAAATATGTGTTTGCTTATCCGATTTTTGCTTGGAAGCATCTTAATTTGCACTTTAATGCTCTATTCCTTACTCAAATTCTACAAAAGCTACACAGTTCTTTCTCTGTACCCAGAATGCTGTCAGGTTTCTGTAGATACAAAAGCAAATAAGACATATTTCTTGCATGTGAAACATCTTAAAAGTCATGTCAAATAAGGCACGCCCATAAAATATACCAGTTTCTATTGCAGACAGAAGCTCTGCTATCAGCCCCCACAAGGGTGGGCAGGAGCCAGCTGAGATCGCAAGGGCTGGTGTGAGAGCCAGGGCAAGGCGCATGTGCGTGGAGGCTGGCCACAGCATGGAAGCATCAGAATGAGCCTTCTGAGGACGGCACTCTTGCAGGCTGAGACTGCAAGGACAGCAGCACTGGTGATTTTTCTCTTTCCCTAGATATCTACCACATGTTCCTCAGACATTTACTGTATGCTGATTCTCACAAGGGCAGAGAAAGGTGGCAAGTTTTACATTTTTATTGCCATAAAAATGTCCGTTTTTCCCCCAAGTTGGCATTGGGATCTTGGGCAATGCTATCCTTTTGCTCTTCCATATACTCACATGTTCCTGGAGCACAGATCCAAGCCCACTGAGCTCACCATCACTCGCTTGGCGCTGGTCCGCCTCCTGATGCTGCGCACCATGGGCTTCACACCTTCAGATACAGTCGCACCTTAGATGCTGGTGACAAATAGCCATGCCTCCATCAGTCCCCTTGGTGCTAATCAGTACTGAAGAGTGGATGCTCACATTCTTAGAATCCACGCTGGGGAAGGGCAGTGTTGAATTGCTCAGTCACAATCAGCTTCCCCCGAGAGGCGTGCCCTGGCTGCAGAGCACCACGCATACCCACAGCCTGCACTCGGCGGTGGAGACACATGCAGACAGGGACGCTGTCCATTAAACCTGTGCGGACACCTGGAACTGGCAAGGAGCAATAATTCTTAGAGACGGAAGTGTGTGAATTTTAAATCACTCATAAAGATTGGATTTCTTACCCAGGTCAATTTAAAGTAATAGGTAGCCACCCACAGTGGAAACAAAGGAGTGGACAGGAGAGACAAAAGTGAGGATCACCAAGGGGCATGAGGTACCTTTTAGGGGTGTTACTGTATTTTCACCTGTGTTAAACCTCTCAGGGTGTACACTTTATTTATTTAATTTTCTTTAGTCTTTTTGAAACAGGGTCCTACTATGCAGCTCAGGCTGGCCTTAATCTCACTTTGTAAACAAGGCTGGTCTCAAACTCGCAATGATCCTCCTGCCTCAGCCTCCTGAGTGCTAGGATTACAGGCATGCGCCACCATGCCTAGCAAGGTGTACACTTCAAACTGTGCAGTTTATATTAGCGACACCCAAAGAAATTGTTTAAAAAGAAGTCTTTAGAAAAAGAGTAAGAAACAATTTTAAACATCAGTAACTGAAAGTGTACGTATGTATCTGTATATTGAATGTTCATAGAGTATATGTAATTTGATAGGGTAGGATGCTTAAACATTGAGCATGTACAACCTATGGAAAATTTCTCCATATTCCATGATGCCTTACAAACCTCTTGCCCAAAAAAAAAAAAAGGGGGCCAGGGAGATGGCTCAGTGGAATAAGCGCTTCCCTGGCAAGTGCAAGGACCTGAGTTCATTCCCCAGTTCCACAAAAAAAAAAAAAACTCTTGCCAAGCATATTTTAATAGCAAACACTAATCAGATAGCAAGTATGAAATATTTATATGTTTGCATAATTTGCAGCATCTTCTGGAAGACACACAATTACATATACATCCTAAATTAAAACCAGAAGGAGCCAAAATGGGATATAAGTTGGACTTTTAGTCTACATTTAGCTTTGGAAAACCAGAGTAAAGAACTCTGTTCCTGAAGTCCCTGCTTTGATATAACGGCTACAGTTTTATGTTCTGGTGTTAGTTTAGTTTTTAAAATGTAGTCAAGTCCCTAAAACATTGTTATTGCTACAGCCCACGACTGGAAACAACACAGGATACAAACATTTCAAAGCAAGGATTGTTCTCAGAGCACCTCCTTGCCCCCATCTTTCTGCAATGCTGGGTGCAATGTGAGGTTGAGGCCTCTTTCCTTACAAGTATAAGGTGACCACTTCCTATGGGTGACAGGGAAGAATAGTCAGCGTGAAAACCCACTGCTCTCAGTCCCCCATAGGTTAAGATAAAGTGCACTTCAATACCCGCGATGCAGAAAATGCTACCTCAGGGTGCACGCAGGAAGAATGAAGGCTTTTAAGCAAACTGGAAGGATCCTGCTGCCCTTAGACATTTAGTGACAGCTTGATAACTGATATATTTACCAGCTCCGAAACAGCAGGCGGGTGAGGGGCAGCGTGGAATGGCAACTTCCAGGTACGTGCGACTGACTGGCCACAAAGGCCATCAGGCCTCTCTGCTTTGCATCACGGGGTCTGGACAACTTCCTTCCCGCCAGGTCTGATCACAAATATCTGAACAAATGTACTACTAAATACTTCACCTCCAAAGTGGGATAGAAATGAACAACGCTTTTGCATCTGTATACTCAAAATAGTTAGGATAGATATACAGCTCCATTCTCTTAATGAATAGAGAGGTTTGTTATAATAGTGTTTGAGACAGGATATCATGTCTGCACCTTGTACAATGAATAACCACTAAGACAACAATATGCAATGTATTAATTATTTAAAATGTGCCAGTAATCGGTTGTGAAACTGTCTCATTGATATTTGTTTCTCAATAAAATTATTTGAGGCGTGGCTGGCGGCGGCGGCGGCAGCTCATGCGGCGGTGGCTGGGAGGAGGCAGCAGGCGGAGCACCGGAAGGCGCCGAGGCCGCCCCAGGTGCTGGGCTCTCGACTGCGCAGCGCGCCGGCCGGGTAGGAGCGCCAGCGCCGCCTTTCAATGGGCAGCTCGCACTTGCTCAACAAGGGCCTGCCACTCGTAAGACTTTGAGCAGCGCAGGCTCTGATGGTTGTCGTGGAGCAGCAGCCTTCGCGCTGTGGCTGGAGACAATAAGACGTGGGATGAGCCTCCATGACAGGACGAAGTTCTGCCTGGGGACTCTGAAGACAAAAAGCTTTGGACAGTCGAATTCATGGTCGTGGAAACCCATCCCCAATGTCAGGCGTCCGACCTCCAATCATGATCGGGCCCCTGCACCCACGGCCCCTGGTGGCACTGCTCCACGGTCGGGATTGCACGGTGGAGTTGCCTATCTTGAAGGATGTGGCCACGGTGGCCTTCTGTGATGCTCAGTCCACACAGGAGATCCATGAGAAGGTGCTGAACGAGGCTGTGGGTGCCCTGAAGTACCACACCATCACACTGACCAGAGGGGACCTGGAGAAATTCAAAGCCCTTCGGATCATTGTCTGAATTGGCAGTGGGTTCGACAACATCGACATCAAGTCTGCTGGGGACTTAGGCATCGCTGTGTGCAAACGTGTCTGCAGCGTCTGTGGAGGAGACTGCCGACTCAACCCTGTGCCACATCCTGAACCTATACCGGAGGACCACCTGGCTGCACTAGGCATTGCAGGAAGGCACACGTGTCCAGAGTGTTGAACAGATCCGCGAGGTGGCCTCAGGGGCTGCCAGGATCCATGGGGAGACCTTGGGCATCATTGGAATAGGTCGTGTAGGGCAGGCAGTGGCGCTGCGGGCAAAGGCCTTTGGCTTCAACGTGCTCTTCTACCACCCGTATCTGCGAGACGGTGTGGAGCGGGCCCTGGGGCTGCAGTGCCTGAGCACCCTACAGGACCTCTTGTTCCACAGTGACTGTGTCACACTGCACTGCGGCCTCATTGAGCACAACCACCACCTCATTAATGATTTCACCATCAAGCAGATGAGAAAGGGGGCCTTCCTGGTGAACACAGCCCATGGTGGGCTGGTGGACGAGAAGGCACTGGCCCAGGCCCTGAAGGAAGGGCAGATCCGCGGGGCACAGCGCTGGATATGCACGAGTCTGGGCCCTTCACTTTCAGCCAGAGCCCTCTAAAGGACGCACCCAACCTTATCTGCACCCCACATGCTGCATGGTGCAGCGAGTAAGCATCCATTGAGATGCGCGAGGAGGCAGCTCATGAGATCTGGCGAGCCATCACAGGCCGCATTCCAGACAGCTTCAGAAATTATGTGAACAAGGACCACCTAACGGTGGCCACCCATTGGGCCAGCATGGACCCCGCTGCTGTGCACCCTGAGCTCAGTGGGGCTGCCTACAGCAGGTACCCTCCACCCCAGGTGTTGTGGGTGTGTCCCCCACTGGCATCTCAGGGGCTGTTGAAAGCATCGTCCCCAGCGCCATGTCCCTGTCCCACGGCCTGCCCCCGTAGCCCACCCACCCCTTGACCCTTCTCCTGGCCAAACTGTCAAGCCCGAAGCAGACAAAGACCACCCGAATGACCAATTGTAGCCCGGGAGGAGCCCTCCAGCCTCAGCGCCCAGCGGAGGGCGCCGCGCACCTCAGGCCCAGGCGCACAGAGGTGGCGGCCAGTGGCGGCCCCCTTGCCCAGAGACTGGCGGGGCGCAAGGCGAAGTGAGGCCACACAGCTCCCCGTGTGGACTGTAGTTGTCCCGTCCCGTGGCTGGCTCACTGTCCTGCGTCCTTTGCGTTCCTTGTTAAGCAAAAGAAGTTAGTAGTTAATTCTATCATGGATGTTCTTGTCTGTGTACAGTTCTTGGAACATTGCAGAGAATTTGTTTGCTTAGCTGTCAACAAAAAGAAAACCCGAGGGAGCGTTCAGCAAGTCAGTTTGGGCTCCTCTTCCCTCTCTGTGTGGAACGTGCCCAGCGAGGCAATGAATTATTTTAAAGAAATAAAAATCCCAGCACACTTCTCAGGACAAAGAATCCTTCCCGTGTTTCTTTTCATGCCACACAGTGCATTGTTTTTTCTACCTGCTTGTCTTATTTTTAGAATAATTTAGAAAAACAAAGCAAATGCTGTTTTTCCTAATTTAGGCATGAACCCCCTGTTCGAAATGAAGGCGGCATCTCAGAGCAGCTCACAGGAGGGTTGCAGCACCGGTGTGCTGGGGAGGCGGAGGGTTGCAGCATCCCTGCCAGCAGTGGTGCCGTCCTGCTGATGTGGTAGGCTAGCAATATTTTTGGTTAAAATCATGTTTGTGCCTGTAACCATTTGTATGAATTATTTTAAAGAAATAAAAATCCCAGAAGGAGCCAGAAAAAAATAAAAATAAAATTATTTAAAAAAAAATACTTCACCTCCAGAGCAGGGGAAAAATCAAATGACACTTATTCCAAAAATCTCCTGGATGAACATCTACATTTGAGTGAAAAATCTAACAATGCAGAACACTGAAACATCCTTAAAAGTGAAGGAGAAAAACCGTGGACTCCCAACATGTCACATATTGCTACAGCTACAGATAGAGGACAGACACGAATATTCTAAAAGTTAAAAAGGGTTCTAGCATTCAATGAAGATCAAAAGACTATATGAACAACCAGGCATGTATAAGACTTCACAAATAAGAGTAAGATTTGAAAAATTCAAAATAGTATCTAAGTGAACTTGTTTCACTGCAGAGGTACCCACTTCCTTTACTAATTACAACTTACATTTTTGGCTAAAACATGAGCAACAAACCTCCAAGGACTCTGAAGAGTAACTAAAGTCATGGAGATGTGTCCTAGGTAGATCCTCACATCCCACTTCAGGTTTCTCCTGCTTTTATCCCTCTCTCATTTATTCAAAAAGTCTTCTGGATTAACATTTGTGTGAAAAATCTAAAATTGAAGAACACTGAAATATCCTGTGAAGGTCAAGGGGACCCAATATGAAGGTACAGCAGTCATGTTGTTCTGTTGATAGGCAGCCAGATAAGGAGACTTCAAGGTCACAGAAAATTGGACAGAATCCCAGAGGGGAGACCATGAGAAAAATGAATTCACTGACATTATGTGTATGGCTGTATAAGTAGCAGCTTCATCCCTGAGCATGTGTAGGTCAGAACAAAAACAATACATCTGAGATGTCAGCCACCATACTTACAAGAGGAAGGAGGCAGACTTTATGGTCTGAACCTAACAGAGTAGATGGTCTTCTACAAGCAAAACATGGGCATTGTCCAAAAGGCTGTAATAGGGTTCAGAATGAAGCATCATCTTGAGAAGGCCAAGATCACAAATGTCCAACATATAAAACATACAGAAAGTAGCTATGAGAAACTGCAGCCCTCTCTTGTCTATAAAAAGGTATAAACTCTAGTTCATCCTAGGCTGCCCTTCCCCACCACTTACACTAGGGTTACAGCTGTTATAGTTACAAGAAACATCTGGTAGTCTTGGATTCCAGGAAGAGTCAAAAAAAGCAGGGGTTCAGTTCCCCGTACCCCTGCTTTTTAGCGACCCTGCCATGCTTTTCAGCCATGCTTCATGCACTCCTTCATGCTGCTTAACTAGCCAGTCCGGGTACATTGTGACCCTTCAACCCAGCCAACCAGGAGAAAGTCAGTTGCTTCTCACTTGTTAAGATATGAAAGGAGTCTGTTGCTGCCTCTCTGCATGCTTGCTGCCTCATTGCTGGGTGTGCTTGCATTCATCTGCAGAAGTCAGCGTGCCTTGCAGAGATTTCTTGGTATCTGAGTGCTAAGTTGGGCCTGGAGCTGATTGCCAACATTAGCCAAGGCATAAATAGGATCAACAGACTGTAACCTCAAGATCATACAGATGCTGAAATTATCAGAGACATTAAATAAACTATTACAACCCTTGTAAAGCATTAAAGATAAACTTAAAAATTTGGGAATGCAAAGCAGGATTTATCCTAGAAAACTAAGGTCTTTAAAAATCACCAAATGAGGGCTGGAGAGATAGCTCAGCGGACTAAGCACCTGCACAGGAAAGCACAGAGACTGGGGTTCGATTCCTGGTACCACATGCTGTGCCGGCCCCACGCTGGGGTATGCTGAGCAGGTGATGGAGTCTAAGCATGGTGGCACATGCCTGTAATCCCAGCTGCTGGGGAGTCTGAACTGCATAGTGAGACCCTGTACAAAAAATATAAATAAATAAATAAATAAATAAATAAATAAATATCACGAAATGGAAATGTTAGAGTTGAAAAACTATATGTGAATTAAGAAGTTGGTAAGCTTGATGGTAGAGCAATGAAAAAAAAATACAGAGAAATGGGAGCTGAAAGCAGTGAAGAGAGCTTCAAGGACCTGTATGATTATAAAAAAAATCTAAAAATACATGGCCTGGCAGCCAGTCGTAAGAGAAAAAGTGTCAGGAAAATGGCTGCAACATTTCCAAACCTGATCAAAGAAACAGATTATAGAGTTAGAAATTCAGCAACCAACATATGGAGACAAAATTGAAAGTAAGCCATACTTTAGCAAATCAAAAATTGCTGAGATCCAGAGATTAGAACAACCTTGAAAGCAGCTGGAGATAACTGATACATATATGCACACAGGATTTTGGATTATCATGCATTTCTAAATAAAACAAAACCAAAAAAATGAGTATCAAAGAAAGTAGAGGGCCCAGGATACAGCTCAGAGGCATAGCGCCTGCCTGGCAAGCACAAGGTCCCCAAGTTCAATTCCTAGTATTCACACACATCAAAAAGAGTGGGAAAATATCTTTTAAGGAGCTTTCAAACAATGTAAAAGCCTGTTAACCAGAATTTTACCTACAATTAAAAATGTCCTGGGTCAGGGAAATGGCTCAGTAGAATAAGCACTTCCCTGGCAAGC